ATCACACCGTTTAACATCCCTTTATCAATATTAAAACACCATTGATTTGTCATATCCAGCAAGGCTGTCATGGTAGAGTGAAGTGAACGGAATCCAGATTGACGGGTATTGATTAGTCTATGTTTAGATAAATAAGCATACATTTGGTTATACACAAGGCGCTCAAAAAGACGTGCAATTGAAGATAACACCGAAATAGGCCTATAATTATTTGCATTATCCCTTTCCTAGATAGATAGATAGATAGATAGATAGATAGATAGATAGATAGATAGATAGATAGATAGATAGATAGATAGATAGATAGATAGATAGATAGATAGATAGATAGATAGATAGATAGATAGATAGATCATAGTTAATAGAAATAAACATGGTTAGGCAGGCCGGTAAACTTCAAAGAATTTCCTATTCAAACTTCAGCTGATGTTGAAATGTAATTCCGAGTGCACACATCTTTTGTCTTGCGTTTATTAATATTCAAATATTAGGGTTCAGCGATTGAAACTAAGCTTTTTATTGGGTAATCGCCTCATTATACAGAATCCGAGTGCACAAATTTCCATAAACTTGGACAAAAACATAGAACAATGACTTTTGTCAAGCTTCCAAACCATGTTTACTTTCTATTAACTATGGATAGATAGATCATAGATAGATAGTAACACCATTAGTGACGTTGAGTTCCGAGTCGAGTATTCGTGAACCGCCGGAAGCTATTATCCGCCATTTCTGTTTGTCGATATTCGCAATCTTTCGAGCAAAATTCCCGCTCATTTTCGTAGAATACACCAACGACTAAACATTGTACCACTTACTTTCAGCTAAACAAATGAATATATGACTGTTTTGTGTTAGATATACAAATGAAAAAGGTCCTAAAAGACAAATTCGTTCAACTCAGGAGCGGCCGTATAAAATAAAATCAAAAGCGGTGTTTCCACTATAAAAACTGTATTGTTCCATTTTGCGAAAACATCGAAATTATTATTTATTTTTTTTTTTATCCAAACGTTAAATTATAGAATATCTTCAACATTTGTACAAATTCAGTTATTCTTTTATCTTTGAGGCGGTGATAAAGCCATTTAAAAGTTGCAGTAGATTAACTTTGAATACATTCGAAGAAAAGATTTGTCATGCATGATGATGTGTTTTGTTATACTACATTTTGGGCGATATTTTCCATCGTTCTTGCATTACGAACTGATATTTTTCAAACTTTATTCTTGCATTATAAAATTGACAACAAAATTGCAAATCCTTATGCACTCCTTGAGTGCCTATTTTTCAACAATGTCATGTATTTTATTGAAGCTAAAACATAGTTGGGAACACTTGCAAGTTTGCAACAGTTTGAAATGTCCCTTGTCACAGTTCGTGTCTGCCAAGCCTCATTCTCGTTTGGCCGGTGCTTTAGTTCAAATTTTTGTGCTAATCTTATATCTGTCATAGAGTTGTGCCTACTGGTTTATACCGTTTGTGTGGTATAAAGACTGCAAAATACAATGTTCTTCTCTTCTTATAAAAGCTGTGATTTCTGAGCGTTCTTTCGATCAAGCCTTCTGTATCTTTATCATAAATCGCCTAAATGGTCAATCACAGTAAGTTAACATTTTGTCCGAACTCATTGTATCTCATTTCATAGAATTTGCCAGCAACATGGCCGTTATTTTATTGCAGTTTAATTTTCAAGGAATTGGTTGCAAGTCAAGAATTGAAATTGTTTGTAACATAGTTTGTCATTATTGCAGTTAACAAAAGTAAACATAGTACTAATACATATACTAACCATGACATCAAAATCGAATCATTTCAATTAGGCTTACTCTTTGTCATTGCCGCATGATAAACCAATTCGATAATTGCGTCACCTTTTCTTTCGTGACCCCGAAGCCTCGTTATCATGAAACGTAAGTGAATAATATTTCGTCTTAATTTATGAAAGCGAGGCTCCCAGGCCAAGAAAGTGTTCGTGATGCATACATCGAGTAAGACTGTATTTCAAAATATGCTTTCCAGACGTATACTGTCGTCATGATATCGTACTTCGACATTGATCAAGCCCGCCGACCCGATAAGGTCATGGCAGGAGCCAATGTTTTTATTACGTTCAGTACGCGATCCACTGTTAAAAAGAGACTTTAGTAATATGGACAAAAATTGGCGTTAACGTTAATCACGCACATGACCGCCTACATGTCATATCAATGAGGAATTTAGACGAAATTAATTTTAGTTGTACAAATATAAATCCTGCATCACGAAGAACCATCGGTCGAAGTTTTTCAGGTTGCTAAACCTGAACCATTCAGCTTTGACCGTAATTACCATATCATGTACACCAGGATCACAGAGATCTAGGGCACTGGTTGTACCAACATGAATACAGGAGCCCCAATGTGAGAGGAAGTAGAAATTGGACTGGTCACATGCATGTTGGATTGGGGACCTATATTTATGCCCATGCACTTTGAGTTCACAGTCTCTCTAGAGAAGTACTGCCAAACTTACCACTGTTTCTGTTGCTCTAAAATTGTGTCCTTATACTTACGAGTCACATAGAAGACATTGCCCTGATGCCCGCAATATCTCTCGGCAGTCCTCCTTATTATACTAAGCTTAAGGACCCGTTGGCATGATTCATCCCAATATCTCCCGCAAAAAAACCAACATGGCTACAATTGTTTATGATAAAAATCATCTATATTATTCATTCCTAAAGAAACTTTACAACAATAACTATTTTAAGGTACAAACAATATAATTATACTAGAACTAATTCAAAGTATCTAAAGGTAAATAATTGTTCAGTTTTCTTTGTTCTCCAACACGTTCGTTTTGTCAATTCACGGGCAGACAAAGTACCATGCAGTACGACTTAATAGCAAGCGTAATGTTCCACGTTTTGACCACATGATCAATACCGTTCACTGCTTTATATAAAGGAAGACTAGATCCTTAGTCTCATGATTACCAAGTAAGACCAAACAAATCCAGAACATGGTAAGTAAGATCACGCATAATGGTAAGTAAGATCACGAATAATTAAAGCTTTTTCTTGAAAGGTAATTTACCGAGCTTAATACGTGATTCAACTGGTTCTTTGGATGTTCTCAATTCTGTTTTTCAGTACGAATATGTTGCTTCAAATCGTTGCACATTTTCACCATAATTCCGAAATTTAGTTTCTAGTTGTTGGACAACCGACTATTTATCATTTTCATTACTACCATTCGTCAACACCGTATTGTTTTTAATTCTTCTATAAGAATCACTTCACTTTAATAATAAATATATTGTGCATTGCTTGTGTTCAAAAAATCAGCCTGACTGTCAGCGTATACCAACTACTGTACCATAGCTTGTTGAAAGTAAACATTACCATTCCTCATACATACGGCACATTGTGATCAGGATCATAAAATCCACATGCATATATGTTCAACAAATACTGCATGATTTCACGCATTATGCTGTAAACATCACAAGTGGTACATCCCAGCTTGGGATACAAGCACTGTTCGTAAAACATGTATATTTTCAACAATGAAAACACTGCACAACTTTTTTCCACGTCAACGTCTCACGGTCTGTCCAGGTAGTATTAATGACATTACTTTTAGTTTTCCAATACAATGTTTTCAAGTTATGCTGTATATTGTTTGTCTTTCACAAATCATCGATTTTTCCAAATATACCAACTGAAACTAGCTTGTCGCAAATTTCTTTGGCATTATTCCCCGTATATCAGTCACACTGTGATCAGGAGTTTGAAATCCTTTAGTTTTTTAGTCATTCAACAGTTGTATAATGGCACGATACAGGAACTGTTCCTGAAGGCGTAGATTTTCAACGATATAAACACTACACGATTTTTGTTATACAACTCACGATCTTTCGACGTGCTCATCAATTTCTTTTGACTTTACAGTACGATCTATTCAAGTAACCATGTACATTTTTGGTATATTTCACACTAATAATCGATATTTCAACGTAAACGAACTGCAACTAGCCTGTGGAAGACACCATTACCATTATTTCCTTATATCAGTTACATCTTGATCCGAAATGTTCAAATCCAGCTGAATCACCAAAAAATATATACCACGTATTATTTTCATGTGTGATGAAATGGTAACATGTACAGCAACTGTAACTGTTCGTAAAATCCGACATACATTCAACGATGACAACACTGCAGCCTTTGTCCAAGTAAATCACTCACAGTCTTTTGAGATGGTCATAATATTTCTCGTGGTTTTACAGTAAAATGTTTTTAGGTCAAATCTATATGTTTATCCAAGTCTTTAAAGCTTCATCAAACTTCTCAATAGACTTTTGCCCATACTGGCAAAGCAACAAGTTATAACAATGTTTTTTTTACTAAATTCCAATAAGCCAGTTTGCCGTAACTATACTGCGCATCCAACTGAGTCGTGTTAAAATGTCTCTTTCAATATATTAAAACTAAAACATGTTTTTCACTTTAACCGTATATCGTACCGAAAGGTAGCTGTATATTTTTGTTATTCTGAGTAACTAATGAGTTCAACAGAAAAGAAAATTCTCTACAGTACGTTACGATATGGTGAAGTGAAGAACAGGCTTAATAAGTTTTAATGAGAAAGCTGTGGAGTGAGAGGGATACAAAAGGATACAAGATCGAAGTTCTGCTTGTATTTTTCAGGTAGTTGTATCCCTCTCAATCCACAGTTGTCTTGCTATCGTTGCTACCTTCACTGACACAGACCTTTCCAGATTAAGTTTTGATGTTTTAATTATGAAAACAGTTTTTTTAGAAAAAGAAAAAGAAAAAGTTTTTAGACGATTGACTTGCTTCAAGTTACAAAAATTTCCCGCAAGTACACTTTCATTTTTTGGCTTTAGACAGAAAAAAGTCAATAGAGTTTATTGGGAAATTAAATTGGCAGTTTTCTTTTTTCTTTTATGTAGAATATTAGTCACTGAATATTTAAAAAATATAATTACGTACAGTCTCAGCTAGATTTTATGTGATTCAGTTGTATTTTCTCCCAACTCAGAACACGTTATTTGGATAAACGGTCAAAATGTCGAACTGGCTTATTGGATTTGACTAAATTGCATGTTTTTAACTTTTCCATGATGTATTGATAATCACAAAATAATCTTTGACAAAATTAGGGCTCTTTCTTCATCTTTTTGTTTCATTTATATTATACTTTATTTTTACTAATTTACCCAAATAAATTATACTATATGAACAACTGTGACATAATTATTTATAACTTACAGTCACTTGACTGTTTTTTATTGAGACAAGAATGTTATTTTACTTAATATAAATGAATACAGTTCTTCTTCAATGTTGCTTTGAAAATGCTATAATATTTAATAACGCCATAATTTTTTCATATTGGATGTTCGCATGAGAGGATTATTTCATAATAGACCTCTTACCCTGTTTACGTTTCCAGCAGGCAAAATTCACTCAAAACCACGCACGAATGAGAACTTTTTCATTGTGAAATGTATTTATTACACACTAACTAAAACATGTCTCTTTACTTGTACTTTTTATAATGCATATAAAGATTTATAAATAATTAATTAAACATTAACTAAAACATGTCTCTTTACTTTTACTTCTTATGTGCAGATACATGCCCTTTGGCTTTGCTGGACAATGAAATCATTAATTTTTGAAAGCACGAAAAAACGTTTATCAGGAATGAAATAAACTTTAACACTTCAAAACTGCACGTGATGGTTCATGATGAATGCGCTGCCTGAATCTTGTTTTCTAGGTACAAAAACGATTTTGTTTTCCTTATTTTGATAGAAAATCTCGTGGTGGAAAATTTTCTTTGATTTGTTACAATTGATCTAAGTTTGACCAATTCGCTTCTTGAAAAACATCTATAGAATTGGAATGTGTCCGCAAGGAAATGTAAACAAGGTAAGGAATCGATTATGTTGATTATCACTGTATAGGTTGCTTCGTCCTCATAAAAACTCACGAACTTTAGCCATGGTCAAACTTTGGTAATTCATAAAGGAACGAAGCTGTCCTGTACAATAAATGAAGTAACAGCCCCAATTACAGTAGTATTTTGGTGAAGACAACAAAATCCAAACTTTTATCCACGTACACCGCGGCTATGGGCATTTCAATTTATGTCGATACCATATGCCGCATTGAATGTAAATGTAAAATTTTATATGAGTGCCCCAATCTGATATTCAAGTTTATAGCTGATGCGTTAACCGAAACTCAGTTGAAATACGAATTTGAAAACACTGACATTTTTAAACTTTTTTGGATAATATGTTAAATATGTACTTTTTGAAGAAACACAACTTCCTCTGTCCAGATACTTTCATCGCGAGTTTTCGATTATTGGTTCTAAGCCTTCAACAGGTGAAAGAATACGGTTGACACGATACAATCTAGCAATATATAGATTAATTAATAGTTTAAATAGGCGATTAATTAATTGGCGTAAGCCTGCAATTGTTAGCGTTAATGTTTTCTAAGGATAACAGAGTATTGTTACCAGAGTGGCTTCGAGATATCGTCTGCATTATTAACAATTAACTAGTGTGCCATAATTCAAATTTTTTCTAATCGTATTTGTTTCCTTTGTCAATAGTTTGCCCGTCGTCAAGGTTGATCCCATACGTGAGCAGGTCCATGTATGTTTCCCTATACGTTTGAGAGTTTTCATAAATCTAAACATTTCATGTGCGTCTTTCTTTTTTCAAATAATCTTTGTATTTCGCCAATATAGCTAGCCTAGTTCCATTCCCATGGAAAGTCGCCACAATGGATTTTGTGAAACTTTATAGAATCATAGCATACTTCTGTCGTTAATAATGCCTACAATAACTCAAAGCCGCGCTCTCGTTATAATTCTCATCCTCAGAAAAGATAACGCTAATAACGACATTAATCCCCAGTATTAATATAGCAGCGTCTTCTCAAATGATGATGCATTGAAAGTCAAACTAAGAAAAAAAAATTATTTGCGTTATGTGATAATAGAATTGTTACATGATTGAACAATATAATTAAAGCCCGGATCAAACGAGCCGAGAGTGCATGAGAGTTGGCTGTTCTTTACGCTTTTCCATGCAACACTATTCATATGTATTCTATTGAATTTAAAACATATTTGGAGCATTCGTCGAGCATTATTTTGTTAATCCAGAGCTTCAAATGTCCTTTGTATAACAATTCGCGACTGCCAACTCTCATCAATTGTCATCCTCGTTTGATCGGGGATTAACGTTTTCAAAGGAAAATACGTGCAACAGTCTACATTTTGTGACATATAAAATGTTTCCAAACTCAGAGTCAAATTTTTTCCCCTCAAAGCTTTATCTTTTGGTTAGATATTGGTTGTTTATCCCTTTTCAAACCGTTTCATAAGTTCCAATGAAGAGAAGTGACTTGCTAAAAATACGTATCACTTTGTCCCGCTAGCTGAAACCTTAACGAGCGTTTTGAAGATTATTATAGTAATGGTCATTGAACCGAGTGGAGTGCAAGTTGGTCTGATCAGTGACCAACCACATTTCTAGAAATGCTAGTGATTTCAAAATGAATATAATAAAACTAAACAGAACAACAAAACAAAGATGACATATTTTTATTAATTATTCTTGTATATATACATATATATACCATAGGCCTATACGGAATTATATGATAGAACAACATCTGGGCAAGTCATTTAACTTTCCAGCATGTATCCAGCAAGAACATTCTAGTAGTTCATTCCCATCATTACGATGCTGTGGTAACCAAAGTTTAATTAGTTTAAATTTGCCTCTCCTAACAATAATACCAATTGTTTGGTGGCATGCAAATACACCCCATGGTTTCTCATCTAAGCCCAAGCTGACGCAAGTTAACACCTCACAAGTTTTCACATTAATTAAACACAGGCAATTTTTATATCCTTTACAAAGAAGGTGTTCCTCGTCAACAAATTCCAGTTTGGATCCTCTTGTGGAATAGAGAGGGAGGTTGCTACGAATTTTCATTGTAAGAATGTCTAAGATATACAACGTTCCGCGGTCATGTACAAGAAATGCCAGCAACTGTCCATCAGGAGAGAAACGAGCTGGCGCGAGATTGTTAAATACACGTGACTTTAAATCTACAGTGTTACCATCTTGTAATAAACATGTAGATTTCCCATATCTCATAAGCACATGATATAAACTACTACATGCGATTATCTCGACTTTAAATTTGTGTTCACGTAATAAGACTAAAATATCCTCAGGAAATGGCGTACGTGCAACTATTTCTTTTCTCAGAACATTAAAAAAACAAACCTGCGACTCCATAATACAAGCTACTAAATCTTCTGCAACTAAAAGACAATAACAACTACCAGTCAGTTCAGGGAAACGGGCAAGACGTTGGGTTACTTCAGAATTCCACAGCTCAGGGATGCCTGCAAAAGGTTTCCGCACCTCTATGCAAAAGAAGACACCATTTGTTACTGGAACAAAAAATGTGTTTCGCCTAAAAAGGTCTTTTGCTTGATCAATATTAATGTATTTTTCCGAAGGAGGCCAACTAGTAAGCATCACGATTTCAAAATTTCCCATTGTGTCATCTGTGTAGATATATCTTCCGTCCACTGAAACAGAAAAACTTAGTAGATCGAAAGAGGAATCAAATGTTTGTATTGTATTGTTTGAATTCTGCGTCAACTCTGTTAGCCTAAACAGTTTTACTTCCTTACCATAATAGCTAGAAACCAAAACGCTAGCATTATTGAGGATAAAAAAGAAACCCCCGTCTACTTTGTGAAACCACGAGCGATCGTCACTTTCCACTACCGCTTGGAATTCAGTGGCAGCCCTCGCGTTAATTGGCCATACTTCAATAAAACGTGTCGGACTAAGAAGTGTAGTTGTTAGGTCATGTTTTACAATTTCGTGTTTTGATCTACTGAGTGCCAGTTTGATCTTTGTTAGCTCACAGCAGTACCAGGAATCCGAATAAAACGTTGAAACTAAAAGTGCAAAGTTTCCACAACAAGACCTTGATATCATGCTGTAACTATTCTCAGTATCGTAAACACATAACTCGTCAACGTTTGTTGTTCCAATAAATCTATCATTAGCCGAGAACAAAATGGAAAATAATTCTGACCGACACGGAAGACTTACTATTTTCTTATTTTCGATCAGATTCCAAACTGTCAAATGAATGTCGTAATTTGTCACCATTTTGGTATTATTGTGAGAAAAACAGCAACTTGTAAACTTACTGGGTATTTCTTTGCACACAAGCAACCCAGATTCAAAATTTCCTTCGAAATTAAGTACAGGAGTAAGTCGTCCAGGTAAAATGACGTTTCTGAAAGGGTGGAAAACAATGCGGCGAGGCGGTTTTAGAATATAAATAGAACGGGGCAAAGCGGCACTCCGTTCTACAACAAAATCGTCAATTTTCCAAAGCAGTTTAAAATCAGAAAGAGAAAACAACTCAACTCCATTTTCATATCCACATATAAGAAAATCGTCTGACGGTGAAATATCAATATCTAAAACACTGTTTGTAGTTAAAATACGACCTATCAAACCCTTTTCAACAATACTTTCTTTTTTGTCTTCGCATTCGAAATATGCAAGCCCCCTGTAGCGTGTCATTAGCAAGTCAGATGCTTTCGAAGAAAGTACGTCATCATTTTCATTTACAACATGTTGCAAAAATGACCGTGGAACATCTTTCAAAATGTATGTGAACCGTCTTATTATACCGATGAGTGTTCTTATGGTTTGCTGCATTTCCTCACATACGCTGCTGTGCATATTGTAGCTTTCTAGGCTGGAAAAATTGCTTAATGTTGCGTACATATCAACACAAACACTTGCATGCACAATTTCTAAGTCAGTGCTCAATTCCGTCAGAGAATGCATGTCTTTTATTTCCGCCTCTAGCATATGTTGTATTCCGTACTGCAATGCATATTCAAATGTAAGGTCATATGTGAATCTTACCTCGTTTTCCTTCAATGTTGCCATTTCATAAACACAAATATCAGTAAGAGTTTTATGACCATATATCTCAATGATTGTAAAATCATGATTTGGTTTTACTAGCCAATCTTTTACTGATTTGTGAAAGAACGACACGGATTCATTCTTGATGACAAGAAGTGAAGAAAGGCAATTTATCAATTTCCGCAACGTTCTGCCTGCAATCGACGAATCTTTGTTAGAACTAAGTAATCTTTCAAGAAGTGCCAAAGGAAGCGGTCGTTTTGAAACTGATATTACGCCTAAAAGTAATAAAAATTGTTCCTGATCAATGCCTAGATTTTTAAGTTCGCTTTCAAGGCGATGAAAATACGTTTCGTAAATCTCTTCAATACCTCCAGGTAAATCTTCAATGTTAGATATGATGGCGCTGTATTCAGAAAGTTTACAAAGGAAAGAAGCATAGAGCATTAGACCTTCAGACTTTTTAACTAATTTTTTGACAATTTCCCTCCTTCGAACATGCTGAGATGCGGTCCTCAATTTATCCTCAAACAAAAGTTTAAGATCCTTTAAATTCCTTTCATCATCTCGCTCTAGAAACATTGGATTTAATCCTTGGAATTTACGGGCAATATCTGTTTCCGATCGTGTTGTGATTAAAAATCTAATAAATCCAGGAAATTTGTGAAAATGTCTGGTAATCAAATCAACAAGCTCGTACCTTTCTTCCTGCTGGCATTCATCTAGCGCATCTATTACGATTAGAAAATGTTTACCTGGATCGGGAATGTTTGTCAATGGTTCTTTGAAAAGCATTGTAAACAACCCTTCGATGTTCAGGTCGTCCAGTAACTGTGCTTTATTACCAGATAAGTTGTTGGTTAGGTTTTGTTTATATTCGGGAATGACATGACATAGCTGCCATGCCAACGACTGGAGGAGAAACTTTGGATTATTGTACCTACTATTGTTATATTGGAAAAAATGGCAAGCTCCAACATGTTCCGGGAAACGTTTACATGTAACTGCAGCGATAGTTGACTTACCCATTCCAGCTTGACCAGAAATAATAAAGGCACGATTATTAGACGTTTTGTCGTATAGCCATTTTGATACCTGATCAAAAACCCACTCACGAGTGCCTTCAGTGTAGTTTTCATAAAACGATTGTATTTCGTCTTTAAAGTCGTGTTCATGAAGGCACTCACTAAGAATGTCTTTTGTGGAAGACTTAACACGTTTCAAGGATTCATCAATCTTTCTGGATACTTTTTCAAACCCGGCATCAAGTTTTGACATCCCCTTTTCCATTCGGTCTAGTTTTATCACTACTTCCTTCTCACTTTCATTCCATTCTTTTCTCACACGATTCACTTCCTCCTCTCCACATTCCTCAGCCTTCAATCTATCAATTTCGGCTTCATTTAAACCCAAACTACGCAAAGCCGAACTTACCTCCACCCAATGAGCCTCAAAATCTAACCCACTAACACCTGTGCCAGGGACATGACCAAAGAAATTATTACGAAATAGCCTAATACGAACAATGTTCGCTTCACGAGAAATGTCAGTGGAACCTGGCATAACATTCCACCCTGTAGTAGGAGGAGATAAGCCACAGATATTTCTTAACAGGATAACAAGTAATGTTATATCAAATTCTTGAATATTTGGAATCCTAGGGGGAGGTGGGAACAGTTTATCCCATTGTGGTTGCGTGATTATTTTCTTTGTCGTAAAAAGATTGTAAAGTTTGAGATAGTGAGTAGACAAAACAGCATGCAAATTACCTGGATGTATGCTTAAGAAGATGTTTCTCAATACCTCTGTTCCTCCATCAACAATCAACCTCATCAACTTAAAGCCATAGATCTTTTCTTCAGAACTCTCAAGGACTGACGATGCCATGATTACGGTACCTGTTATTATTAGAAAAGGAATAAATTGTAGACAAAAACCAGAATGTAAAAAAGAGGAGATCATTTTGTTTATAATTTATATATCATCGCACAGAAGAATTGCGCCTAGTTCACTGTCAATTGAATGATAACTTGTAACTGAGAGATTTGAAATATGCATATCAAACTATTGCAGTTGTATACTTGATATGCATATTTTAAATCTTCCAATCTCAGCTACAGTACATGCTATGATTCAACTGCAATTCTATCCCGACGCAGAACGCGTTTTTTGGATGCGCACTCGACATTATGCTTTGGCTTATATCCTGTCTATAGTGAGTCTATTGATATAATTAGTGAATTGTAGATAGAGCTGCTAATGTATTCAAGTTAAATCACTCTCTTTGGTGGTTTATCTCGAATTCGGCGATAAAATGTTTTGAAATTTAGTAAATTTTATGTCCGCATGTCAGAATGTTCGCGTGTCCGCATGTCTGAATGTTCTCGTGTCCGCATGTCTACAAGTGGTTGTTTTCGTCTATTAGCTGTACTAGTATACTAGTGGACTATCCGGCCTCCGCTGTCTTTGCCAGATGACAATTGGGTCAAATTTGCAGCGCAAATGTATGGTGTCCCATGTCCGCCAAAAATCAACATTTGCATTTCACTATATGATATTTTGAGGATCATATTCATTTCATTAAAATAACAATATTGTTTTTGAAGATCACCGGTTTATCGGTTGAAAACACAGCTTATTTTTTGAAGACCAACTTTGGAAGACCAACTTTTGATACCCAACCGCAATCCAAACAAACAATACTTGCTACGGGCAATTTTTGATATGATAAATTCTATCGACCGTTTTTGTCTCGAGACGCTAATGTAGACTACCAAGAGCTTATGCTGAAACTTGATATTTTACAACGGTTGCTAGTAAATATGAATCTTGATGGAACAAATGGAACACCAATCCAGACAATAGGATATCCGGAGGGGGTAGGGGGGTTAACTTCTAATTTCCTCCGTGGGGATGGTATGGATGTTTTCTGGAATGACCCATTGATAAACAGAGAAAACAAGATAATGTATTGTCCTAGAACATAGATACCCTAATATATTACACACAGTCAGGTTTTAGCAGTGCCGTAGCAAGCTCGATAATTGGGGGACTGATATTCATATATTTGTGTTCACAGACCATAAAAACAATGGAAATAAAAGTAACACAGAACACGAATATATGAATATCAGCCCCCCCCCCCAATTATCGAGCTTGCTATGGCACTGTTTAGGTGTCCAAATGGTATACATGACATTAAAAACCTGCACAAACTTTCCCCCTGCTCCCCCGCCCGTAAAAGTTGATGTCTGCTGCCACTGCTGGAAATGTTCTCCTTTTGGAGGATGTGAAGGAGTGGATATTAAAGTTATAAATGTTTATGTAATTTACTCCTTCACATCCTACAAAAGGAGAAAATCGCAACTAAAATTGCAGCAACAAATGGCAACAATACAACTTACTGTGTAATGTTAGAAAATGGAGGGGTATTCTGCAATCTAACCTGATCAAAAGTAAGGGACCGTTCATTATTTATGACCGGGGTGGGCTGGCAAAGTTCAATTAACAACTAAACAACATCTCCTACCCCACCCCCTGTATCACAACAAAATTCAATGACCCCCTTCACATGAATTCTAAAAAATAGTAACCCCCCACCCCCTCACCACCACCACCGACAATATAATAAATGTACAGTACTGTATAGAAATGAGCTCTTTGAAATTGTTGTTAAAGGCATCAGATCTTTCATTTACTTGTGCTTTCAACAATTAATATGCATGCCTATTTAACCCCACTAAAGAGTTTCTTGTCTGGCGTTAAACAAGTAAAAAAAAAAGTACTGGGGTGCAATCGGTTAACTAGAGACATTGTAAGATTTTTTGGTTAACCCATTAAGCTGCAGAGCGCCGAAGAGGCTAAAGCTGGGGGTCATACCATTTTTCGCTACTAAGAGTGTAGTAAAAAGTTGCTCAAAAGGAAAAAGTTGCTTGAAGTTGCTCGAGCCGAAAAAAGTGCTCCAAACGCAAAAATTTGCTCAAAAGTTGCCGAGCACAATAATAATAATAATAATAATAATAATAATAATAATAATAATGAAAGCTTTAATACTTTTGTTATATACTATATATATACAATTGTAAATCTCACTAATTTAAGGTAACTTACAATTGGCTATTTGGATCACAACTATATGAACTAATAAAAATGACAAGACAGAATACATGAAAGTATGTAAATATACAAGACAATCAGATATTTCAAATAGTTAACAAGTCCGGACTTTCCCAGTCCTTATTTCGACAGCAGAAAATATAGTATGTACTTCGAATGGCAATAGTCATCATTTTCCTAACACAGTACGTTTGGTACTTTTTGTCCAGACCAACATTTCCTAACATTTCTAAGAATGTAGAGCATTAATTGTTTTTGTTTGTGGAAACACCACGTAAATTTATTACTGCAAAGCTTTCGATCCGTAAGCCCGGATCTTCATCAGTGCTAATAATATCTTTGCAGTAATAAATTTACGTGGTGTTTCCACAAACAAAAACAATTATATTTTATCGCCATGCAAACATTCAAAGAACTTATGTAGAGCATTCTTGTGCAAAAATACCTAGGGAGCTCATGGAAAGATTTATAAAGTTTACTTCGTTAAAATTTTCGTCTAGTTGTTTTACTAATTCTTTATATTTGGCTTTTTTCCGATTAACGTTGTTCTCGAGGTTTGTCTCATAGCCAACAGTGAGCTAGACCACATAAAGAGAGCCATTTGATAACGATAGCAACAAATCCGGGCGATACTTTGTACGGACTTTTGAATCCAGGCACATCAGCGTAGAGGGCAGAACCGTTCACAGTTTGCAAGGTATTGGCAAGGAAGTTCAGGATTGAATTGTGTCTCCACGTAAATCGATCGAGATAACACTGACATCCAGCAACCACGTGCAATAATGATTCTGGGCCAAGACAAAAGGAGCATTCTGAACTTGAAGACAATCCCCATCTGCTAAGGTTCTTGCGTGTCGGAAGAGAGTTATTGATATAGCGTATGGTAAAGTTATAAATGTTTTTCGGAAGTTTTGATTGAGCAGTAGACCACACTTTGCTAAGATGCGACAAGGAGAACTTTGTCACACTAGAGAAAAAGGATCCCTGACAAGTTAATTGATTTTGGAGTTTATCTTCATGTTCAGACCGAAAGTCTTCGAGCACTTCTTTGGTTGAGTTATAAAAGTCGTATTGGATATTAGTATGAGTATTAGTAGATTTCCACAGTTCGTTGATTGATTGATTAGGAGAAAGTTTTAAAGCTTTTCGAAGAACTGTTTGGCATTGGGTAAATTTCACCAAATTTGTTGCGAGTTAGAAAAAACAGCACTTAGTGTTCCTGAGATTGGAATTTCAAGCCATTTACGCATGTATTGGTTGACTATACGGAATCAATATCTTCAATAACCCATGTTTTAGAAAGTGTTGCGATAGTGAAATGCCACGATATTTTGGATAAGACATAACGACTGTACACGAGAAGCTTATTTCTTGGGTGGAGTGGCTTCGAGTCAATATCATTCATTAGTTCATTAACGAGAGTGGTTAGTTCAGTCTTATGGTTATCGTTCGACATGTTAAAATCAAAGTAACGTCCTAAATATTGAAACGCTTCTCCAATCTTTATTGTTGGCATCAGATTATTGTTGATGAGGAGTTTCGGTAAATATTGGACTGATTTTGTGATGGCTTTCTTGATGCCAAAGGTACTACATTTATCGACTCTGATAATCATATTGGACCATTGGCACCAGATGGAAAAACGATTTAAGAGATGCTGGTTTTCAGATTCTTGGCCAGTGATTACGGCTGCGTCATCAGCGAATTGGAACCAGTGGATAGGATTTAATAGCTTGAAGGAGAAGCCGAACTGACGGTACTTTTCAGCTTTGATATGTTGGATAAAAGTATTGAAGCACATATTGAAAAGAAGAGGACTGAGGCAATCTCCTTGCAATACGCCACGGCCAACAGATATAAAAGGGGTGCGGAATTCGGAGGTAATTATTGAGGTTTGGAACTCAGTGTATAAACTTTTTATAACGAATTTTATGTGTTCTGGGATGTGGTGGTAGTCGAGTACTGATTGGATGAGATTATGATGGACTTCGCCGAAAGCATTCTTCAGATCAAGTAAGGTGATGACAACAGCACGTTGTCTGATCCGGGCTTTGTTGATGATGTCAGCCATTTGCGCAGTGTGTTCTAGAGTGCCAGATAAGTTAGGGGTGAAGCCCTTTTGTATGCCGTGTTCGATAAAGTTATTGGATGCGAGGAAGGAATATATTGCGTTTCGAAGACAAGGTGTAAATACTTTTAATGGTATAGACTCAAGTGTTATTGGACGGAAATTTGACGGGTCATCAGTGTTACCTTTCTTATGTATTAATATAGTACCGGCTTTTTTCCATTCATTCGGGACAGTTCCAGATAGCCAAACTTCATGAATTAGTTCACTGAGGTAAGTTCTCAGATAAGGACATCGCTTAAAACATATTATCGAAAGCTGATCAAGAGGGCAAGGAGACCCAGACAATTTCATTTTACGTATCACATTAGTAATTTGTTGATAAGTCGGGGGGCAACCTCGTTCCCAGGGCTTCAGTGTGAGGACGAGGCGAGACACGAGGAAGCCCTGGTCCGGGCCGGTCACTTTTGCATTCTGATTGGCTAACACCATATTGTTTAAAAATAACTGAACTTGACGGTTGACAATAACAAATTACAATACAATTCAACATTTGTATTTTTATGATTCTTGTGTGTACGAGTATGCTTTGCAAAATAATCTTTCAAAGTAAGACGTTTTCCCGACTGCACGATTTACTTTCGCCTCGGCCGGTTACAAAACTCAAAAGCCGTGTCGAAGTGAGCTGTGATGTTTCCTGACAAAACAAGAAATGCATGTCTACTATTATTTAAGTTTTCCTTGTACAGTATTTATTAGTGCAGATGTCTGATGAAATACTACGCGTATTGCATTGTAGTAATATTTTAATTTACAATATTCTGTACTGACAAATAAAAGCAAGACAAACAATTAAATGAAACTACTAAATTAATTTAGGCCCTGTTTACTTAATATACGCCTAGGCCGATGTAGTCTACAAGATTCGCACGCCACACAGTTTTTCAGTTTCAGAATACGCCGAATACTTGAAAATTGCGACTATACGATAAAATAAAACAAAGATTGTGAAGGGGATAAAATTTGTAGGCAAGCATTGCTCCTGAACGGCAAGTGTTGGGGTCCGGCGAAACAAGCGAACCGTATATTCCTGTACAGCGTAAACAGGTTACGCGAGGTTTTATATTTGTGTTTATTTAATATATTGAACTAAGTCAGATCTATAAGAGCATATTTAAACCAAATATTAATTCAGCAATAGCCATATTGTTCAAGACGAGAGAAAGGAAATTTCGTGTCAATCACTACTTGCATGGAGACGCCTAGATGCAGCTTGGATGCACTTTGCCTGTGGTTGAAAATCTCCAGAAATATCTGTATATCTTAGAAAACATAGATGGGATCTTCATAGATTTTAGCTGATTCGTGTCAAACTTCGCTCTACACATAAATAATATCGATTGAGAAGTCTTTTGGCTATTCATTTGTTTCGAAGACTTGTATATTTCATTAAAGAATATCTCGCCACTCCTTGACGAGTAGCTGTCAAATACTGCCATTTTTTGACGTCACGTGACCGGCCCGGACCAGGGCTTCCTCATGTCTCGCCTCGTCCTCACACTGAAACCCTGGGAACGAGGTTGGTCGGGGGGTCAAGGTTGAATTGAACTTCGGGATCAGATAACTTTGGAATCCAGCTGGGAATGTTAAAGTGCCCCTGACACAAAACATTTTTCCCAGTCTATTGAAAGTACTCATTTAGTATAGTGTTCTAGCGAAAAAAAATTTCGATTTCATCAAAACGAAAAATTTTTAGAACCGTTTGAATCCAAATATTTTTGGCTAATGGCCGTCGGCGACAGAAGTCTGGCACTAGCATTTATTCTGACGTCACGCAAGTGAGTCGAATCTTGATGCCTGTTAAGTTATCTGTTTTAATCAGCTCGAAGATTTTGATCGCTGAAGTGTTTAACTTTTTATATTCTAAGTTCTATAAAGTATCATGTCAACAGAATCAGTCCGATGATTCCGGAGCGAATTTTATACCTGGTTAATTTAATATGTTGTATTGGAAGATGCTGTAGCATCTCGTCAGCTAGGTCTCTAGTCGGTATCATTAATATTACCAAATCTGCGACGCGGACGTGACGAAAAACTGCCGCTATTATCACAGTTTCACTTCACGGATAAAAACTGTTGTTGGTAAACAAAGTCAGGGACACGAGAAAAACAAAGTAAAACTAGTCTCCCATTCATATCTCCGGGTCGGTGCATGCTATGAAGATAAAATTACTACCATTCGATTCAGAGAAACAAAATCTCCTTATTTCTAATGATAGTTGCTGCCGAGCCTCTGCTCGGCAGCACACTATTCTTAACGTTACATGACGTTCTTGCTTTTTCGTGTCCAGTCCCCGCGGCCGAGTTATGTATAGTCGAATAGCGATTTTCACTCGGTGGAGATTTCGGCATTCCAGGGGGCTCATTAAGTATTCACGTTGGATTGTAAAATGAGGGGGTTGTTCAACAAAATTTTCTTCAATGATGCGAGCAGGCTACTCAAATATGTGTCTTTTAAGGTTTCACCCGAAATTTTCAGTACATAAAGTAGTAATATCTGTATGTTTAGTTCATATACTTAGTGTTTATTTATCGATGTGATGAACCGGTTTAATAAAGTTGCGAATATCGAGGGTAACAGCCTGGGTTCATGCTACCAGCTACCTACTTATGGCTACCTATTACAAATCGCTGGCTACTAAATATGAAAGAGTTTAAGAATTTATAAACTATTGTTTGGTCAAAGTCGAGTAATGTATTGTCATTATAATTTTATTTTGACAATTAGTCATATGTCCACAATGGCACAATATGTCTTACAGTATTAAAATTCGCGCAGTACTGGAATTCGCGCAGCGCTGGGTGAGCAAATTTTAGCACTGCGCGAAATATAATCATAGATATCTTATATATAATCCGCGCGAAAAACGTTGTGGTAGTAAAGATAAAGCGTGCGTTTAAAATAACAAGAACTAAAACACTTATTGCATGGATCAACTTGTAACAAGTCTGTTGAGTTCAACAACCTTGTAGCAAGTTGCCAACAAGCCGTTGACAACTTGTCAACAAGCTGGGAACAAGCAGTGCGAACACATCCTGTTGACAAGTTGTTGGAACAGCATTGCTACAAGTCTGCTGCAGGTTTGTTACAACTTGTGCGTTTTTACGTGTGTACACGCAAGCATACACGTGGCGCGCGCGTGCGAGTAAAAACCCTATATTTTGAAAAATTCAAAATAAATATTTCTACTCGCCTTATTCAAACGAAACTTCTTACACGAAAGCGCTTTAATACAAGGAGTATTTTACTCATATTGACTCCAGCGACGTGCTGGGGTCTTGAAAAGGACGACGAATGAGCACGTCTGATGAGGCCCAGGCCCAGTGATGGGATTATATGGATCAAGATTGGGGCGGGGGGTATTACTGATCAAACATGAAACATTTCAGTAATGTTTTCGTAAGTTTAGATTTTTTAAATATAAATTGTAATATCTTAATCTTGATTTTCAGAATTAAAATCTATATTTTAAAGTTAAAATCTGCAATTAGAAACAACAAAAATCGTAAAAATTTAAATTGGGGTGACGAGAAATTAAGTCGTTTACTGGCACTGATGAATAAAATTGTCTGGCATTGATAGCAGGGCCGTAGCAACCGGGGGTCTGGGGTCTTCAGGCCCGCCCCCCCCAAAAAAAAAACTTGTAAACTAGCGATAATCTGTGAAGTTTGAGAGGGATATAATTACCTAATAATCGCCCCTGACTAATCAGCTCCCCCAATACAAAATTGCTTCCTACAGGTAGTGGATAGGCAGTAACTATTAAAGTATGCATGCGCATTGCCTGCCAAAGGCGGTTAATAAGAGCAGATACTGACAGTACTCTACAACTGACAAGTAAAATCGTCTGGCGTTACAGAGTGTAAATTTCTCTGGCGTTAGACAGAGTTAATACTAAAGTGGGGTGCATTGTCAGCTAATGGGTATGCCGTTTATCCACTTTTGACCCAATGGCAACTTTTTCATGTTGGTTATTTACTCATGTTCCGTGCAGGCAATTTAAGAATAAGTTCATTGGGTCAAAAGTAAACTCCCCTTTAGAGTGGTTTTGCATTCAGTTCATGTGGCAAAAAAGGCAGCACTTTCCTTGCGATAGTAACTCCTAGTTTTAGTCAAATATAGTTTTAGTCAAATTGTAGTCAAATAGCTATTTATGACCTTTGGTCACCTTTGAGAGGTCAAGCGATGTCATAATTCATTATATTACTCAATTAATCTCGAACAATGTAAAGTAGCCATACATTTAGCCGACCCTTTGGACATATCTTTTTCTTAATAGTCTTATTCGAACCGGAATCCAAAACACTATTTAGAGTGTTATTTTCAAGCTTGTGTCTTCAGATTTGCATCTTTTATTTCGGTATTACAAAATATTTACATTTTTAGCTGGCCGCAAAACCGAAATACAATTGGAAATTGAATCATCAAAACAAAGCAAATCATCGTCAGTCTTTATTAGCTTCAGATAGTTAGGCTTGCCGAGCCCCGGCAACGAAAAGAATTGCCTCTCGTAATCCTCTGTTCTACAATGATCCGAGCATATAGTCGAAGTCTTTGACGGCACAAACGATTTGCGCATACAAAATCAACCCATACTTTTCTTCGTCTTTTAGCTTCCGCGTGTTCGTCATTGAAGCATGGAATATTGTGTAGACTTATTCCATCTTTTAAACATGCTTTATTGGTACAGTTAGCTGCAACACAGTAAAAAGGCATATCTTTTTCGATCACAAATCTACCTATATATCCGCCGAGAGTTGATAGTGCTAGTATAGTTGAATAATAGAATATACGCCGACTCACTTGCGTGACGTAACAAAAATCACTCGTTCCAGTTTCCTTCGAACACGGACGCCTGCCAACCAAAGGCCCAAATTTTGCGTGTTCAAACGGCTCTAAAATTTTTTCGTTTTGATGAAATCGAAAAATTCTTTCGCTAGAACACTATACTAAATGAGTACTTTCAATAGACTGAAAAAACTTTTTTGTGTCAGGGGCACTTTAAACAGTCTACTGGGATTAATTTTAGCCAAAGATTTAGAAAAATAAGTAAAGCCATCTGTCACGTTAAATGATGGTAGGTAATATTGAGTCATTCTTATTGATAATGTTTTTAATATAACCCCAAAAGTTCCGTACGATATAATTGTCATGACTGAATGACTCATTGCTGTCAGAGGTTAGCTCATCGTTGTTGTTATTACGAAGTTTATCACGCAATGTGCGGGAGACGTATTTAATTTTACTAAGGTCATCTTTGTTGGATTTTAAATTTTGCAAAGCTTTCTTTAACTCCTTTGCAGTATATTCTTTATATTTAGTAACCATATTTTTGTCAGGTACCGTTTCATTATGTCCATTCAAAGTTATCTGCAAAGTAGTAATATATAACGTCGTTTAAAAGTTTGATTTTTGAGTTTACGTCTTGCACTCTGATTGGATCATTTAACTGTAGCGCACATTTAAAATAATCATTAGCCGTTTGCCACCCAGAGTCATTTTTAGGTAAATTTATGCCTTGTTTCAGTTCGGGCAAACTTTCGTCATTAGTCATATCAATGTCGTTAATAGAATTGTCATTTTCAGGGGTATCTGCAGTGTTATCCGTCGTTATTTGCTCTTCAAGATCAGCAGACAGCTCGTCGTTAAGGCCATGTATCACTTGACATCTACGCTGATGCATTTTAAGGCCACGCGCACCTTTGCATATCTTACCACAACAACACTTAACAACTGTGCGACTTGGTACAGGAACATTAGGTGACTGCATAACAGACACTTCTCTCGATGTAATATTAGGGCGGTCTTGTTCAGCGTGATTAATCCGTTGTTTACATCGCGACGAATGGCGACCAAGCGAGACGAAGTCTTGTCCACAAAACGAACAAGCGACACAAATCGATAACATAGCAATAATGCTTGAACGAATCATAATGAAAATCTTTTTGTGATGAACAATATTAAGAATTATTAAGAAATACTGTGATTCAAATACGAAATCAGCGATGAAACTATTGACATGTACAGAGCACGTATAAACGTGTCTCTGCTCGATGTAATGATAATAATAATGAAAACTTTATTAAATGGATATTTAGCTTATATATACAATTGCAAATCTCACTTATATCAGGTAATTTACAACTGGCTACTTAAATCACTGCTTATATATGCAAAAATTATACTGTCTATTAAGATAACAAAATGACAGTACAACGTTTAAACACTTAACAGTTCCGGATTCATCCATTCCTTGTTTCGACAACAAAATATATTGAATACGTTGTTCGGATTGCAATCGTCGTCATTCTTCTAATACAGTAATTCTGATGTTGCTTTTGAAAACCAAAATCATTAAGCATTTCTATGAAAGTAGAACATTCTTTACTGAAAACACCAAGAGAACTAATCGAAAGATTTACAAATTTTACTGAGTTGAAATGTTCATTTTGTTCCCTAATTAATTCTTTATATTTTGACTTTGATTAATTCTTTATATTTTGATATTTTGACGCTCAATGTTTTTTTGAAGATTTGATTCGAAGCCAACTGTAAGTTCAACAATATAGAGTGTTCCGGTTGAGGTTGAAAGAAGCAAATCTGGACGGTAGGTGTCACCAGTGATGATTGATGATGGACTTTTGTACCCTGGGAGATCCACGTAAAGATGTGAGCCGCTTACGGTCTGCAGGCTTGTTGCGAGAAAGTTTAGAACGGAGTCATGTCTCCACGTGAATCGTTCTAGATACGATTGGCAACCAGCTACTACGTGCAGAAGTGTTTCAGGAGCTAGACATCGCGAACAGTCTGAAGTCGGTGATAAACCCCATCTTGCAAGGTTTTGGCGCGTTGGAAGGGAGTTATTGATGTATCGAACTGTAAAGTTGAATATATTTTTCGGAAGGTTCGATTGGCACGCAGACCAAATTTTAGTGAGTTGGGACAGTGAGAACTTTGTTATATTAGTGAAGAAAGAGCCTTGACAGGTTAATTGAGTATGCAGTTTATCCTCTTGTCCAGAGCGAAAGTCCTTAAGAACTTGCTTAGTGGAGTTATAAACGTCATACTGAATATTTTTGCTGTTGCTAGTTGCTTTCCAAAGATCGTTAATTGCTTCGTTTGGGGATGTTTTTAGGGCTTTACGGAGAACAGTTTGACATTGAATAAATTTGACAGATGGGGGACAAATACTGAGGCCAAACTTGTTGCGGGTTAGGAAAACAGTGCTTAGCGTTCCAGATATAGGTATATCAAGCCATTTACGGATATAACTGTTGACTTTGGAATCAATGTTTTCGGTGACCCACGTTTTCGATACGCTAGAAACTGTAAAATGCCAGGATAATTTTGACAGAAGATATCGACTGTAGAGGAGGACTTTATTTTTTGGATGTAATGGTTTGGAATCAATATCTGCCATTAGTTCTTCAACGAGTGAGATTAGTTCAGACTTGTGGTGTTCGTCTGACATATTAAAACTAAAGTATCTTCCTAAGTATTGAAAAGCCTCACCGATATTGACCTTTGGAATTAGTTGCTTGTTAAT